ATGATCGACTCTTCTACAGTGTACAAACAATGCTTTATTGTAGCGTTACTCGATACTGACAGAATTCACAGATTTGCAATTTACAAAGATACGCGTACATCTATTTTTGTACGTGAAAGTATGCATATATAATGAAAAAAATTTCCAAGTTTTTATAACCGTTTGCTACCGATCCAACTAAAACGTTATTGTCGGCTAACGTTAGCGTATAAAATTTCAACTTTTGTTTCTCTTTTTTCATTTTTCTTCTTTTTTTTTTTTTTTTTGGTAAAATTCTTCTTTTTCGTAGTCTTCCGATTCTATAACTGGAAGGAACTCTTTAACCAGTATCAGACGTGCAGGACGAAGTATCAGCGTTACTTTGATCGTTGTTGCTCTCCGTTGATGAACTATCGTTGCTCTTTATTCGTCGTTTCCGCAGCTTTGCGAATTGAAACTCCTCAACCGGCACTGTACATCAACAATTGAAGTCGTTATTAGTGTCGTTCGTGCAATTATATTCGGGAAAGGAACAATTGAATGTCCTAACGAGTGGGAAGTAAATCGAAGTAAATTACATCTATCGAAATCGAAATATAAGATGTCTGTATTTTTTTTCCTCTTTTGTACTATTTTCTAAAATTCATTTTATTACAGTGATTCTTATGTTACAGCCATAATGTATTCAGATCGTTTTAAATCATCTAGAATTTCTTCACTAATCATTTTTGTTGCGTTTTTAAAAAAAAGATCTATGACATACTATGGCTGTAACATGTACATTATACGAAGTTAACAACAACCAGAAAAATCTTAACTTTTACCTTTCTACCAAAAGACAATGAGTAATGACTAATCGCTTAATATTTGTCATAGCATTGCGACGAATCGTTTAACAAAAGATACATGTGATATTTACGATATTTATCACGTTTCTTCAAATTTACAAAAACTTCATTGATTCTATATATCATACATATATATAATTCAATTCGGTGTACAAGTCGCTACAAAACAAATGCGACGTATGAAAGACTTATTTAATAAATGATTTAATAATTAAGAATATACTATTGATCAACTGATCATCTTCTACCGTTCAACTTTGCATTACAATTTATCAAAAGGAATTAACATTGTTGAAAACTTATACTTGAAAGAATATTCTGTATATAATTATTATTGTATTTCATTCATTCATTTATTCATAATTCCCACTGCGAGATAAATTTTAATCGAAAAAAACAAGAATGTTAAAAATGATTGTACAAACACATCATAAATATTTTGTTAAGTTCGACGATGATTTTTCGATAAAAAATTAAAAAAAGAAAAATAGAATGAAAAAAACAGAAACATCATAATGCTTTAGCAATGAACAATTTGTCACAATTTAAGTGAATTTATTGTATGGTGATACGATTACTTGTACTGCAAGTTTGGTTACCATCAGAATCTGGATCTCGATCCATATCAGTATGAGTAACACTCGGTAATGGTACAATTTCAGGTTCGAGCGGTTTTACAGAACAATCTACATCTTCAACGATTACTTCTTCTGCTAAACTGCTTCTAACAGCTTCTATATTTATAAAAAATATTTAGAATAAATTAATTAATTTTCATATGTTATATTTTTTAAACAGTTTACATATATACTTACCATTAAATGCTTGAGGATATTGTTGACTTAGTTTATTTTTTACAATACGAATCCTTTTGAAAATATAGTCTAAATCTCTTTTCATCTCTACCAAAAGTGCTGTGTGTTTTTTAAATTCATTGCCAGCAGTTTTCAATCTATTAATTGACAATTGATTGCAATTAGTTAACATCTCGTTGGTCTTTTCAAATCTTTGCAACCTACGAAGTAAAAGATTCATTCATGATGCAATAAGAATTTATGAGTTACGAACACTTGAAAAAAGAATAAAAAATTATTCTTACATTTGTTTTTGAGCTCTTATCATAGATTCTACATCTTGTTGATCAACAATTCCAGCCAAACCTTGTATAAATACCTCAGGTGCTGTATAGTTTTGAAAACATTCAAAACTTCCAGTATCTGACTCTGGTGTGCCTTGTGCTGTTGCCATTTTTTTAAATCTTATATCGACTAATTACAATATTCATCCAAATGTAGTTTTAATGTTAACATATTTTTCTATCAGTCTATTTTTCTATCATCTACACACATTTGTTCACATTGTTTTTTTATACAAAAATTTATGACATCTATTGTACATTTCATTTTTATGATCCTTTATTATGTTCACAATAGTATTGATTGTAATGAAATAATTTTAACTTTAAATGTAAGAAAATAATTAATAAATAGTTGTCAATTAATAACAAATTTATAAATGATTAGATAACGCAATAGCGTTATATTTAATTTATAAATTGTATTTTAAAAAGCACACATTTCTTTCTTTCACTCTTCTTATGAATTAATTCAACGACAATATGATATACATTTTTAACACTATTAAAAATGTTCACGCTCGTCAATGATTGACGATAACTTTACCATTTTATCTATGTATAATTTACCATCATTGTTTCAACATTTAATTAAAGAAAATAATAATGTTTTAACAAATATATTTAACATATTTTTTCAATATAATTTTTTTATAATCGAATTTTTCATTAAACTAAACATCTTAAACAAACTAGACGCTTCACCTTCAACAGCTGTTTGAAGTCAAATGTTTTCAAGACGGTTGGTAGAAGATCCAGCATTCAAATTTCCACAGTGACTGTTGTATCTCAAACCGAAGCTTCGGAAATTTCGTGCGAAAAATAATAATTCTAAGAATCACGTGTGTCTTTCGATTCGGAATGGCACAAAATATAAATCCATTCTATTCATCTCAAAATGCTCCAAGTAAAGCTGCAGAAGAAAAACAGAATATACCAAAAGATAACCATGCAGTTAGTAAACGGTACGCCAACTTTATCAAACATTTAATATATACATTATCGATTGATCTTTTTACATGTATATTTATTTACTTCTACTTTACTATTTATTATTATTTTACATTTTTTATTTTTTTCTTTAAAATTTCATATAACGAATGTACTGTATTATAACAACTATACTAAAATACATAACCTACTCACAATGTTTGGATAAATAATATAATAATAATGCATTCTTAAATTATGTGTAAATATCCAGAACTGTAATCATATTTTACAATAGATTTACTTATAATTTATTTTTCCTTGTGATATTAATAAAAACAAATATATGTTATATAGGTTGCAAAAGGAGCTAATGGTTTTAATGATGAGTACAGAGAAAGGTGTTTCTGCCTTTCCAGATGGAGAAAATTTATTCAAATGGATAGGAACTATTATAGGACCACAGGATACAGTAATACTTCTATTATCATAATTAAAGTATTGATAAATATAGAAAATAATATTTATTTTAACATTTATTTTGTTTGTTATTACAGGTTTATGCTGGTCTTACATATAAATTAACTTTAGAATTTCCACATAGTTACCCATATAGTGCTCCAATTGTACGTTTTGCTACACCTTGTTTTCATCCAAATGTGGATGCTGTAGGTAATATTTGTTTGGACATATTAAAAGATAAATGGAGTGCTTTATATGATGTGCGTACCATATTATTATCTATACAATCTCTTCTTAGTGGTGAGTAATACTATATTGAATGTTGCAGAATATGCTGATAAGAATATGAAAATATAAATATTTTTGTTTTTTTATTAGAACCTAACAATGAGAGTCCTCTCAATCCACAAGCAGCAAAACTATGGAGTGATCAAACTAAATATAAAAAACATTTAACAGAAGAATATCACAGAGCTCTAAATGGTGACCAGCAAGATTCATGATAAGTGCATTTTTATAATGATCTTGTTCATTATTTTTATTTCTATGAATGTTACAATTAAGAATAGGATATAGAAAAACAAACTGCACTGAATTTATGTACTTTGTTATTGAAAATTTAATCTTCTATTATCTTTTGCACTTGTATGCTGTGTCATGCAAAACAACATACAAATATCTTTTATATTGTTCATCACAATCATGTCTGTTACATAATTTCGTCAGTCTGTCTTAAAGATGTATAGAAATTTGTATCATGCTTTTAAGACTGTATATGCAGATTAAACATTTTTATATCGTCAACTTCTATCAGAAACTTTTATTTATTTTTATTCTTAGTAATATGTATAATATATATATATTGATTTTGGATATATTTTAATATTTTCCATCCATACAAGTTACAGTGACCATCGACGTTACGTCATTGATTATTGTATATTTAAAAAATAAATATTTTAAACACTATTGTTATAAAATTTATTATATTTTTACACGTACCTTGTTTAATTTGTTGAATAGAAAGATTTTTAAATTAAAAAATTTCATTTCATCTATTGACGTTCATTTCGATATAATAGAATAGTAGATATTTTTTCCGATAAACGATTTAATAAACACGATGTAATATAAAAATTTAAATTAGAAAATTTTTTATAGAAATTAAATTTCAATATATAGTTGAAAAAGTGACAAATTAATTCTATTTATTTATAAATATTTTGAAATGAAATGAGAGATGATTTTACAAAAAAATATTTATAATATGAAACTTTTTTCATATTATAAATGAATATCTATAAAATAAATAGATAATAATAAAACTTTATTCGAATATCATAAAACTTTAATATATATTATAAATATTTAAAATTTATAAAAAAACTTTTGTAATATTACATATTGAATTAATTGCAAATATTTAAAGAAAATTAAATTTTTCGCGATACTGTGAATAATAGAAATCAGATTTATATTCAAAATATTAATAGAAGAACTTTTATCAGTTTTTTTTTTTAGAAAATAAAATGCAGTAACAGCGATAAGATACAATGATGTCATTAACTTGTTTTATTTATCAATAAATGAGCGATAATTTTATGTTCCCTCTACTATTAATTTTTTAAAGATATTCCATAAATAGATGACGTTTTGAATATATGAGCAAGAAGCTAATAAGGAAGCTAACTAAGCTGTCAGCCATGTTACTAAAATTATATAGAAATTTTGTGAATAATTTTCTATTTCAACAAACAATTAATCTTTCTTCACGGAATAATGTACGCCTCTTTTCGACAATGAAAGATTATATTTCACAGGTAATATCACATTATAATTGTAAAGATAACAATATAAATAGAATTATATATATATATATATTTTTTTTTTTTAGGAGAAAAAAATTAATATTAATGGATTAAATATCAATTACCTGAAAATTGGAACTGGCGATCCCGTTTTGCTTTTACCTGGTGCAGCAGGTAAGTAATTTAATAAAAAAATGATCACGTTTGATGTAACATTGCAATGACAAATGTGTATATATATATGTATATGTATATACGTAAATTGATGAAGGTGCTGCTATCTAGGAAAATTGATTATTGAAAATATAACTATGTATAGTCATATTCGATCAATTTTAATATTCGAATGAAACAATATCTTTATAATAATTTATAATAGATGAGTAGAACATATTAACAAATTTTTATTTTATCATAAAAAGTTTTAAGCTGTCTAAGATAAAAGGTATATTCTTATTTAAAAAATGTTAAATTATTGTAATTTAAAACAATATTATCAGGTTCGATTTGGACGGATTTTAAACCACAAATAGAGGGACTTGATAAAGAAAAATTCACGATAGTAGCATGGGATCCTCCAGGTTATGGAAAATCAAGACCACCCGACAGAACATATCCGGATGATTTTTTTCAACGTGATGCCATTATGGCATGTGATTTAATGAAAGCCTTAGGTTACACAAAATTTTCATTGATAGGATGGAGTGACGGTGGTATCACTTCTTTAGTACTCGCTTCAATGTTTCCCAATAATGTTAAAAAAATGGTTGCTCTTGCTGCAAACGCTTATGTAACACCAGAAGAAAAAGAAATTTATAAAAGTTTGTTCTTTTACTTTAATTTCGATAATTTTTAATTATTTAGCTTTTTTAATTATTTATTTGTATTGTTTATTAAGAATACGGAACTATTGATAATTGGTCTGAAAAAATGAGAGAACCGCTGATAAATGTCTACGGGGAAGAGTATTTACGAAAAATATCGTTAAATTGGTTGGAGTCTATTTTGAGAATTTGCGAAAAACAAAACGATGATTTGTGCAAAGAATCGCTAAAGAAGATCAAATGTCCCAGTTTAATCGTTCAAGGAAATAAAGATCCGATGGTACTCGTTGAACATGCAAGTTACTTGAAAGATAACATTGCTGGATCGAAGTGAGTATAGCATAACATCGATTTTGCAATCAAACATATAATCAATATTAAATAAAAAATTGTTTTAGGGTAAAAATTTTCGAAAAAGGTGCACACAATTTACATTTACGATATTCAGAAGAATTCAACGATATCGTTACCAAATTTTTAATCGAATAATTGAAGATATAAATTTGATTCTTTCTCTACAATACAATGTGTCGTTATAGATAAATATATTAATATTTTTATATTATATTATATAAGTAATTTTACATACGTTGCATTTTGATAAATTTTTAGTAATAATAATAGAAGAAGTATTTGAAAAAGAATTTTTTTTTAACATTTACCCTTATCTATCTATCATAGATCAATCATAGATATTAGAAAAAAAAACTTTTTTCTTTTATATCTTTGAACATTTTATCTTACGCTATGCTGACACAGCATAGAGGACGCACGTGGGATAACCGGCACAGAAATCAAGTCAGAGAAAGGAGCTATAAAATCACGTGGGCGATGAAGGTTTTCCATAGGCTTACCTCTTTCGGCTTCCAAATAACGTTTCCGTCTTTTGAATTGAAAATCAATCCCTAATCAATCTTTCGAATTCGTAATTTCTAATACACACATATATATATATATTATATTATATTATAATTAATGATTGAATTATCAAATAAAATAAAAAATCACAATATAATTAATGCGAGGAAAAAAATGAAATTCGTGTTTTAAAATAAGCATCTACTAGACGATTAAAATGCATATTAATACAATTCAATACGAACGTCAAGAACCGCCCATCCGAAATACCTGCAATGCGCTTTGGACGAAAATCGATCGTGTTCCTGTGTCTCGGCTACGCCCCAAAGAACCATTTGCCAATGAAACATGCTTTATTCTTTACTAGCAGAATTATATTATATTATTATATATTACATATTATATCATTTTACTTAAGATTTTATTTAAGATTTTATCTTTCTTCTATTTTCTGTTTCAACAGCAAATACAATAACAGCATAAATAAAAATAAAAAGTTTTGAATCAAATGAATCTTTAAGATTCACAACGAGACATTATCTGGATGCAGATAGAAAGCGGTCTTGTGCCACTTATTGTGCTTGTCGAGAATACTCGCACAAATATTCATGGAATACTTCTACTCTGATCTGATACAAATGTTCATTATCACCATTAATTTTGACCAATTAAAATTGCACAATATACAAGTCAAATTTAATCTATAATGTTTAAATAGTTTTTTAAAAATAGCTTTTAAAAATATTTTTGATTATCAAATAGATAAACACTAATCTATTTCTAATAAGTCTAATTTTCTATTTTTATTTTTTCAGATATACAACAAAATTATAATAAAAAATTATATTACGTAAGTTCAATTACAAACAACGAAAGGAAATAGATAGAAAACGTGACATATAAAATGCAGTGGATGTGTCCAAACATGGACATACTGCTTCGTGATTCGATCGTGTGAACCTCTCCTTATTTTTTTACCTTCTTTTATCGCGTTGCTTTTTCGCAATAAATATTTTACGAGTCATATTGCGAACATTTTCTAAATATATAACTTTGGGAAGAACAGGATAAATTTTAAAATAATTACCATTTAAAATAACTAAATTTTCGCGTCAAATTCTACGCGAAACGAAAATATTTAAAAAAAAGAAAACAATGACGCGTATCGTATTTTTATTGAATTTCTGAGAGCATTATTAGATAAAATTATTCTATAACAATAAACAAAACCAAATACAAGCGAAAACCGAATATGTAAATGTGTTCCCCGTTTTGGAGATGCGACATCGTGTTACGATGATATCATCGTAAAGTGTTACCCAATAACCGGACTGGTCGCAAAATCGGATATTCTTAGTTTTCGAATTGATAATTGTATATTATTAAAACAATTTCTACTTATAATCTCGTACGATGTATAACAGCGTGTATAAGTGATAAGTTTAATACCCGAGTGAATTTTATTCCAGTCTAATCGATCAAGATCAATGACGGAAACGAGCGATACCTTCGAACAAGGAAAAATAAAAATGGCGAAAAATTGTAGAAAATGAGAGAAATAAGATAAGGATAAAAATTGAAAGAGAACAGGATTCGTAAGAGAAAAGGATCGAGAAGAACAACTGGGTGACTCACAATCAGATTTCGAAGCTACCGTTATCGAGTTGGCTCCCTTGTTGGATCCACGACTCCGCCGCTCTGTTTCAAAGTAGAAAACGACACCATTTACGGCAACTTGCGGATCGGTTGTTACTCGTTTTCAGACTCGTATCACACACGATCATTCGAGAAAGTAGTCGTATGTCAAAATCTTGTCCTCGATACAACTCGGCCATCCCTACTGGTCCTCGCGTGTAAATCTCATCGCGATGCGATATTTCGAATGTTTTTTCTTTTTCTTGCAATAATAATCTATAAAATATAAGTTGTAGAATATTTCCGAATTAAAAAAAAAAAAAAAAAAAAAAAAAAGAAAAAGAAAA